TGCCCAGGCGGGTCTTGAACCAGTGGGCTCAGGCAATCCACTCACCTCAGCCTCCCAAAGGCGCGGGATTACAGGCTGAGCCACCAAGCCCGGCTCTCTAGGTTTCTTAAAGGGCCGAATGCGTGCATGTAGCATGAGTGTGGGCGTTTGGGGGAGAAGAGCGTTCTCTCCAAATGCTGCTTTCTGCAGCAGGGTGGAATTCAGCAGGTGGGGGAGGTCGAATTGCTCATGAACTTCCTCTCACCCTCAATACAATTTCTCAAAGGACCCGAGGTTTGGCAGCAGGGTATGGAGCACGGGGGCCCCAGATCAGCCTGCAGAGGTGGATGCTGTGGGCCCACGCCAATTGCAGCAAGCGCAGGCTGTCGGCTGATTGGTCACAGATCTCATTCCCATAATCACAGTGCACACCACACCCAAATCTTCCTTCCCACCCCTCGCCAGCCCCCAGCAGCCCAGTGGCCCCAGGACATGGGAGAGCAGCGGTGCCAAGGAGGGTGCAGCGCTGTGAACACAGGGGCGTAGGGCCAGGCCGAGGGAGGGCTGAGCCAAACAACTCAAGCACAGGACGCAGGCTGAGCCGCCAAGGTGCCGGCCCCATGGGGCCTGTGGTGGTCCCTAGGTACCTTGATTTCCGGCACCACGATCCTCGACTCGGGGTTCTTGTCCAGCATACGGGCGATCAGGTCCTTCAAGTCCTCAGCTATATCAGGCCTAGGGACAGGAGACACATCAGGGATGGGAGACAATACACAGGACTGCCAAGAACTCAGAGAGGGAGGGACATAGGCTGCATCGGTGATACTCACTGGTCTGGAAATTCCAGGGCCTGACTCTTGATCTTACTGTGTAAACACATGATCCGCTCGTCCATGAACGGGCACTGCAGAGAGAAGCCAGGGACAGAGTGGTGGTTAATGGCTGCCGCATCTGCCCTTCAAGGGCCACTCCACATGGGTTACAGCAGAGAAATCAACAGCTACGGTCCAGGCTAGCCTAGCAGTCCCACACCATCACCTGCAAATTCTTTTTTTTTTTGAGTTGGAGTCTCATTCTGTTGCCCAGGCTGGAGTGCAGTGGTGTGGTCACAGCTCACTGCAGACTTGAAATCCTGGGCTCAAGTGTTCTTTTCATCCAGCTCCTTAGTAACTGGCACTAAAGGCATGCACCAACATGCCAGGCTAATTTTTTATTTTTTGTGGAGATGAGGCCTTACAATGTTGCTCAGGCTGGTCTCAAACTCCTAGCCTCAAGCAATCCTCCAGCCTCAGCCTCCTGAGTAGGTGAACTACAGGCCTGAGCCACTACTCCTGGCTCCCATCTCCCCCACGTTCTAGAAGGACCAAGAGTGCCCTTCTAGAAGGGCTAGAGCCTTTCCCAGCCACACTGCAGCTTTCCACTGTAGCTGTGCATCAGTTTACCCACTTACACCAAAGCAAACACTCTTCTTCACACACCTCCCAAGCGAACAATAACACCAAGAACAATACAAAGACGTTGTAGCCACAGCAGTGATTTGCAAGGGCTTAGCCTGGACCATGCACTGACCTGAGGGTTTTTTGTGACCAACAGTTAATTCGCTGCTCCCTCTGCCTGAAATGTTCTCCCACCAACATCTGTATGGTTTGTACTGTCCTATCATTCCAGTAAAGCTCACCTTCTCAGGGAGGCCTTCCCTAAGCACCTATCTGAACCATCTCCCCCTACCCCCACCCCACACACATTATTTCCCATCATAGCACTTCTCCCTGATGTTATATACACGTTTATTTGATTTTGGTTGAACACCTCTGCTGGAACATCAGCCCTCAAGAAGGCAGAAAGCTTTATCTATCTTGCTCACTGCAGATTCCCTAGAGCCTAAGAATATTCCTAGCACAAAGTAGGGACTCAATAAATACCTGCTGGATTAATAAATACTTGAATTATTTCTGTTAATCCTCTCAGAAGCCGTAAGAAAGAATAAGTATCATTTTCATCTTACAGAAGAGAAAAACAGAAGCTCAGAGAAGTGACGGGTTCCAGGAAGTGCAAAGTGGGATTTAAGCCTAGACTGGGCTAACTCCAAACCCTATCCTTTGCACTCCCTCCTGAATGACAAAAAGACCCAGCTGAGGGCTTGACTCTGGAGGAACTCAATTACGTGTACCAGAAAAAGAAAAGGAATCTTTACATGGGGCACTGAAAATGTTAGAAAAGGTGGCAGAAAGTTACCTGGACCACTCTTGTCCCAGGAAAATTTCATTAAAAGTAGTGACTTGAGATACAAGCCTGGATTGCAAAGGTATAGCCATTTGACAGAGCTCATTAAGAATAAAACACTTAGCCAGGCTCGGTGGCTCGGCCTGTAATCCCGCGCCTTTGGGAGGCCAAGGGGAGTGGATTGCCTGAACCCATGGGTTCGAGAGCCGCCTGGGCAACTTGGCAAGACCTCATCTCTACAATAAATCAAAAAATTATTAGCCGGGCATGGTAGCGCGCGCCTATAGTTCCAGCTACTTGGAAGGCTGAGGCGGAAGGATCGCCGGAGTCCAGCAGGTTGAGGCTGCAGTGGCTGGGAGTGGTCACTGCACTCCAGTCTGGGCGACAGAGTGAGACGCCAACTCAAAAAAAAAACAAAAAAAGGAATAAAACACTTAAGATCTGTATATTTTGTTATATGTAAGTTTTACCGCAAAAGAAAAAAAAAAGAGCCATAAACAAATATTGAGCTCTAGCTCTAAAGCATTTGGAAGGAAGAGTGCAGATGTTTGCAACTTACTCTGAAATGCATTTAAAAAATCAGATGGAGCCGGGCTCGATGGCTCAGCCTGTAGTCCCGCGCCTTTGGGAGGCTGAGGTGAGTGGATTGCCTGAGCCCGCGGGTTCGAG